CCTCCCCCCCCCCCCCCCCCCCCCCCCCCCCCCCCCCCCCCCCCCCCCCCCGTCTCTGGTACCTGGTGGTAGAGGGGCTGCCTGGGCCAGCAGCGGCAGCAGCAGCAACAACGGTGGCTCGCAGCGGCTGCTTCCCCTTCTGCATCCTGCCTGCAGCTCCCCTAGGGTGCAGCCCCAGCTCTGGGCGGGCAGAGGGAAGGCTTTGGTAGCTGTTCCCCTCCCATACTCTGCTGGCCAACAGCCACCACCAAGCCTGGGCGTTTTAACCACTTCCCCCCCCCCCCCCCCCCCCCCCCCGACCATGAGCTTCCCCCATCCCAGCCCTCCACCCAGCTGGGGGCCATTCCTGGCTGCCCCCTCATGGGCCCCTTGGCTCTGTGTAACTTTGGGCAGGTCAGTCAGTGAGTAAACATTTATTAAGTGCCTACTGTGTACCAGGCAGGGTGCTAAGCCCTGGGGACACAAAGAGAGGGAAGAGGCAGTCTCTGGCTCAGAGGAGCTCATCATCTAATAGGGGAGATGGTGTGCAAACAGGCCTCCACTGACAAATTAAAGGCAGGAAAAATGGGGAATCGGTGGCATCAGAAAGGGGAAAGGGCTTTCTGTGGAGGGGAGGAAGCCAGGGAAGTCAGCCCCTCTGTGGGCCCCCTCGGTGTCCCCCTCTGGAATGCCAGTGGTTTGAGAGAAGCCCCGGCCTCCTTCCAAAGCCAGCTCGGGGTCACTGCCCGTCCTTCCCTCCCCATCATCCTGTACCCCCTCCCCGCCAGCCCCCGGATGGAGGGAGGTCATGCACTGGTTCACTTCGGTCTGTACCTGCCCAGCTCCAGCCCTGCCCCGGGCACAAGGGGCCCCTTGTCACAGCTGCTGCTGCTGCTGGTGGGTTGGGGCTGATGGGGGCCGCGGATGCTGACCTGGAAGGGGTCTCAGGGCCCATGCAGTCTAACGCCCTGAATTCACGGAGGAGATGTTAAGGCCTCGAGAGGAGCTGACACAGCCCAAGGTAACCCAGCCAGGAAGGGGCAGGTGCGCTGGATTCCCTCCCTGCACTTGGAGACTCAGGGGGAATGGAGGAGACACCGAGCAGGGAGCAAGAAGCGCTGGGGAGGGGGTGCAACCAACCAGCAGGCTGTCGGCCAGCAGGAAGGGTGCCCCCAGCGCGGCCGGCTGCCCCGCGTGCGTTTCCGTTTTTGACACGGTTAATAACCCAGCAGATGCGGGAACATGGTAGCTCTGGGGCAGTGGGGCGTGCTGGATGGCTCAGCCTGAAGGGCAGGGGCTCATGCGAGTGAGCTGAGTGAGGAGGTCTCCAGTGGAGTGCCCCAGGGATCGGGGCCTGGCCCCGGGCTATTTAACCTCAGCGTCAATGACTCGACAAGGGCGAGGAGGGCAGGCTCCTACAGTCTGCCAATGACCCGAGCTGGGCGGGACCGGCACCAGCTGAGCGACAGGACCAGGATCCTGAAAGATGGAATAAGATGAAATTCATGTGGGAGAAATGTTGAGTCTTGTACTTGGGCACAAGGTGATGAGATGGGGGAGGCCGCTTGTCTGAAGAAGAGTGGAGGGGGTGGCGTGGGGGGGACCACAAGCTCTCTGGCCTTGGGCTGCCTGGGGAAGGCAGAACTCTCAGAATCAGGGAGCTGAGAGCCTGTCTCCCTGGCCTCTACCGTCCTCAGACTTCATCTGCAGCTCTGGGGACAGCAGCAGAGAAAGGTCCTCGGTAAACGGAGCGCGTGCAGAGGAGGGCGACCAGGATGGGAGGAGCCTGGAGTCCGAGCTGGCGGAGGACCAGGTGAAGGCACAGGGGTGCTCAGCCCAGACCCAGGCTGAGGAGGACCCGGGGAGAAAGCCAGCAGGAGGGCTCTGCTCAAGTCTCTGAGAGCTCGTCACTTGGGGCACTAATTGGCTTTGTTCCTCTTGGCCCCAAGATACAGGCTGCAAAAGAGGAAGGGAAGATGATAGTCTGGGCTACCTTAGGAGGCAATGAGCTCCCCGTCCTTGACTGTCTCCAAGCAGAGGCTTGTCAGGGATGCTAAGGTGGCTCTCCTCGGAGGCGTAGGTTGGACGGAGGCCCCTGCCGGCTCTGAGGCTCTGGGGCCCTGAAGATGCTGGGCAGCAGTCACTGGCCGTCAGCCTGAGCCTCTCTGTCCTGAAATGACTTGGAGGACTTTCCCAGGGTCAGGAGCCTGTGCGGCCACCACAGCCCCCCAGGGCCAGGCAATGTGGCGCCAAGCTGCATCACCACACAGCACATTCCGGGAAAGGCAAGATGTGGTCTGTCCTCAGCCAGTCTCTGGACTGCCCTGCCTGTCTGTCCCTCCCTCGGTCTCAGCCAGGCACAGCTCACTGCAAGGGCGGTGGGACCCTGGCCAGGTCACTGCCCCCCCAGGCTCCATCCAGGTGGCGGCTGAGGCTTGTCCTCTGAATCTGCAGCTAGTGGGAGCAGGGCAGGGGGTGCTGCTCGGAGCCTGAAGAGAGAGCTGAGGCTAGAAGGGGGAGGGGCAGCAGGCGCCCCTGGAGCTGGAGTCAGACCAGCAGGGCCCTCTCCTGCTGCTCCCCGCCTGGAACAGCAAAGTCCTCTTCCTGCCGAATTCATCTGGGCTACAGGAGGAGGGGGGTTGGACCAGATCAGCACGAGGGTCTCTGCTCCTGTGCCTATATGCCCAGCACCCATGCACTCGGACCTATCATGGACCAGGAACATCACTGCCCGCTCTGTGGATGGGGAACTCACTACCTCCACTGAGAGATAGCAGGGCCTGTAATCGGTGGGGATGGCGACATTGCCCTTCCCTTTTCTTATCAAGCTGAGAAGCTGCTCAGAGGTGGCAGAGGCCATTATGCCCATTGGGCTAGAGACTGAGGAAACAGAGCACCAGCGGAAGCACTCAGGGAGCTGGGCTGCCTGGCCAGGTACCGTGCAGACGGCTTGGGGACCAGGTCTTCGTGAGCTCACACACTCCCGGCCCCCGGGAGCCTGGATGGTGGGTCCCAGGAAGCATCTTGGGACTGGCTGTTAACAGTGCCCCCCAAGGGCCCACTGTCCTGCTCTCTGGGCATCAGACTTCTCCTCTGGGACAGGTGGGGCTAGAGGCATGTTCTCACTCTGATGGGTGTTTGGCATTCATTCATATGAAGGGTGCTGTGCCAGAGATGGAGAACCTGGGCTCCCTGGCCCCCAGTGGTGGGGTGATCACCATTGAGGGGGGTAAGCCCTGGTCCAGGCAGCTGCCCCCACCCCAATACACACTGCCTGAGACCACAAGGAAGCAGGAGAGAGACAGGACAGGCTTCTTAGAGGGCTAGGGGGCTGGGGGAGGGGAGGAGTTCCAGGAATTAGAAACAGCCAGAGTCAAGGGCCAGATGCAGAAGGCTCCAGGGCTTGGAGGACTGGAGGTTAGAGAGCCCAGAAAGGAGGGACCCAAAGGGAGGGAGGGACCAGGTGGGGCAGGGCCTTGAGTGCTAAGTAGAGGAGTTTGAAAGGGGCCCCAGGGTGATCCCTCAGAAGGGATGTCTTGGCAACCTCACCTGCTGGAGAGGGATCCCCTCCTAAGACACACCCGGTAGTCTGGTCAGGTCTGACCCATCCCTTCCATGGCCTAGAATTGTCTATAGTTCCCTAGGGCCTTATTACTGTTCATTGCCAGCCTCAGACTATTCTGAGCATTAAAACTCATGACACAGAACTGCAGCAGAGCCAAGGCGATGCGCTGGACCAGAGCCCTGAAGGGTAGATGTAGCCCAGGCTTCTCATTCTTCAGGAGAAGAAACCGAGGTCCAGAACATGCCAGTTACTTTCATTGCCTGCCCAAGGCCACCCAGGGAACCCTGGCTCTCCAGTGATCAACCCTGGCAGGCAGCAGGAGTCCATCACTCCGAAACTCCTGGCGCCCCTTCCCCTTTTCAGATTCTTTTTGTGTGTCACCTTCCCCAATTAGACTGTGAGCTCCCTGAGGGCAGGGACTGTCTTAGCCTTTCTTTGTACACCCAGCACTGGGTCCAGTGCCTGGCATGTAATAGGTGCTTAGTAAATGTTTATTGCTCTGACTCTAAGTTGGCTGGTAACTCCCCTGGCATCCACTCCCATTTTTTCTTCCTCAGCAGAATTGTTCCCATTTTTATTTTGAGGATTTTGTTCTGTGCTGCAGGATTTCAGGGCCTGGGATGCTCCCTGGACTTCCTGTGAAATCTGTCCAGCTGAAGGGTCTGTCTCTCCCTGGCTTTCCTCCTTGGCTCTGGGATGGAACTGTGATGGGTCCTCAAGGCTGGCCCCTTGTCTCTTTCCAGAACTGGTTCCCCACCTCGGTCAGACCTGTGTTGCCCATATGGCCCCTGCACCTGCTGATGACTGAAGGTGAGGCAAGGGTCCAGCAGGTGAGTGGATCCAGCCGGGTGGTGACTCACCTCCTTTGTCTGGACTGTAGCATATCACAAGAGGGTGTTCACTGGAGGGCTGGAAAGGGCCTGTACTCCCCCTCATTTTACACAGGAAGAAGGGAAGGCCTGGGAAGGGCAAGGGGCAGATTAACGTGGGTCCTCTGGCTCCAAAGCCATGTGGCTTTCCTCTCCTCCGAGTTTCCATCCTTTGATCTTCACCCAAACACTCTGCACCAAGCTTCCTGCCTCTTACTCCTGCATTTCCTCACTTGAGGATCTCCCTTCACATACTGTGCTCTTTTCCTGTCCCCCTGCATCTCCCCTTTGTTGTTTTTTTTTCAGGAAGGTCTGTCCACCCAGAGCCTTATCCCAGTTCTGGGATAATTCTACCATTTCTCAGGATGCCACTGGAGTTCCGATTTACCTTTTCATATCAGGCTGTTTAGTCTGCTCTGCTTGCCACCTGGATTTTGCAGGTTTGGACTTCTAAGATTCTGGACCTTATCACTGGTGGGCTCCTTTCTTGGATTCTCTGTCTTACAAACTCTTGGTTCACCCTTCCTGTTTTTGGAGCACCTGCAGGGCCCTGCCCAGGACCACTGGGTCCTCATTTTAAAGTCTCCACAAGACCGTCCTTTTACTCCTTCCATCAGGTGGGAAGCTGTCATTCCTATAATTTAAGCTGTGGTCTGGAAACCCAAAGGCCATTCTCAAGTACCAAGTTCACATGGCTGGCCATTCACTCCATTTCTCTCATTTTCTGTAGGTAGGAGTGAGGAAAATACCTTCTGGACCCAAATAGCCCTCTTGGTCAATAGTTACTACTGCATAGAGATTTTTTCTAATTCCTTCGGGCAATATCATTTGTGTCCACATGACCCACTGGAGCTACCAGGTTAACAAATCTTGGGTTTCTCTCTGCCAAGTCCCAGATATATACCCTGGGAAGACAGCAGATCCCCTCATCATCAGGGCCTCAGGACCCTTCAGCAGGGAGTCGTCAGCTACTACCAGTCAATCAGCCAGTCAACAACCATTTATTAAGCTAGGTGGTGCAGCTATGTGGAGCACCAGGCTTGGAGTCAGGAAGACTCATCTTCCTAAGTTCAAATCTAGCCTCAGATGCTTACTAGTGGGTGACCCTGGGAAAGTCACCTAATTCTGTTTGCCTCAGTTTCCTCATCTATTAAATGAGCTGGAGAAGGAAATGGCAAACCACTCCAATATCTTTGCCAAGAAAACCCCAAATGGAGTCACAGAGAGTCAGACATGACTGAAAACGACTGCACAACAACAATTATGTGGGGTGCTCAGTGTTGGGAATACAAACACAGCAGAAAGTCAATCCTTGCCAGAATGTATAGGACACACTTCTAAATTTAATCTGAATCACAACATTTTCTCCACTTTTGAGCTGGCTCCAGCATACTCCTGGTTCCTGCCTTCAAGACGCTTACATTGTAATGGGGAGAGAGCATGTAAGATAGAGCTGAAGTGGGGGCCAGTGGCAAAAGCATCCAATGCGAAGGCATGGCAGAAGAGTACACCCTGGAGAGGGAGGAGACACGGCTGGCCTCAGCATCCTCCTTAAGGAGAGGTTCTGGGAGGACCATCCAAACAGAGGGAGGGCTACTGGGGCCAACATGTGGGTTCCAGGGCTGAGGGAGGCTCTAGAGAGAAGAGGTTTCTGGGGGATTGCAGAGGAACTCTGGGGTGCAGCTGGAGAGGGGTGAGGCTAGTTAGTTCTTCTTCCTCTGACCCTTCTATAGATAAAGCACAGGCCATTTCCATGTGACTTCTCTACTCAGAAAATTCCACTGGCTCCTTCTCTCTTTGAACTGTCTAGGAGCAGGGCAGCTAGGTGGCGCAGTGGATAGAGTACTGGCCTTGAAGTCAGGAGGACCTGAGTTCAAATCTGGCCTCAGACCAAACACTTGACACTTACTAGCTACGTGACCCTGGGCACATCACTTAACCCCAATTGCCTAACAAACAAAAACAAAAAAAATGTCTAGGAGGCAATTGGTGATGGCAAGTGGAGCTCAGGAGAGAGGTTAGGGCTGGATACATAGACGTGTAAGTCGTCTGCACAGAGATGATGGCCAAAGCTAAGACAGCTGATAAGATTACTGACAGAATAGGCATAGGAGAAGAGAAGAGGGTCCCAGACAGTCTTCCAGGGACAGATCCAGTAAAGAAGACTGAGAAGAAGCGGTCAGACAGATGGCTGATGTTGCAATAGAAATTTAACAAAAAGGCAAACTGAGGCAAATTTCAATGAGAAAGATAACATTTATTAATGGGGCATGCTGCCTGTCAATAAATGGGGCAGTGGTTTGCCTCTATTTATGCTAAAGACCCCTTTCACAGGTTTTGGGGAATACAGAACAAAGAGCAGAACAGGCAGATGACATCATGGGATTGAGAATATCATGGTTAGTTACAGAGCTGAGGTGCAGGAAACAATAAGATTGGTTGAAAGTTTGGTAATGAGACTTCCAGGAGTCAATATGGTAGAATAAGGCAGGAATTCACCTGAACTCTCCCAAATTTATCTTCAAAAAACTATAAAATAATGCATCGAAACAAATTCTGCAGACAGAACCAACAAAAAGATGGGGTGTAACAATTTTCCAACCCGAGACAACTTAGAAGGTTGGCAGGAAAGGTTTTTTTCATACAAGTAAAAAGGGAGCACAGTCCAATGCAGGCAATGTCTGTGCAAGCCAGCAAGCGGCCCTGAGCCCCAGTGCAAGAAGCTTGAGACAATGCCCCCTCTACCCCAGGAGCAGAGCTCAATTTTAAAAGTCATGAAATAGGTTGGAAAATGAGAGAGGGAGGGGAAAGAACTTGACTATAGAAAGTTACATGGTGACAGGGAAGATTAAAACAAACTCAGAAGAGGAAACAATGTCAAAATGCTTATATGTGAAGACTCAAAGAAAAATGTGAATTGGTCTCAGGCCCCAAAAGAACTCCAGGAAGAGCTTAAAAAGGATTTTGAAAATCAAAAAAGAGAGGTAGAAGAAAAATTGGGAAAAGAAATCAGAGTTATGAAAGAGAATCATGTAAAAAGAGTAAGCAACTTGGCAAAGGAAGAAACACAAAAAATGGAAAAAAGTTATACAAAAAATGACTGAAGAAAACAATTCCTTAAAAAGTAGAATTGGGAGGCAGTGAGGTGGCACAGTGGATAGAGCACCAGCCCTGAAGTCAGGAGGACCTGAGTTCAAATCTGGCGTCAGACCAAACACTTGACACTTACTAGCTGTGTGACCCTGGGCAAGTCAATTAAGCCCAATTGCCTAAAAATTTTTTTTAAAAAATCTAAAAAAAAAGGTAGAATTGGCCAAATGGAAAAGGAGCTACAAAAGCCAACTGAAGAAAATAGCTCCATCAAAATGAGAATTGGACAAGTGGAAGCTAATGACTTCCTGAGATATCAAGAATCAATCAAACAGGGCCAGAGAGGTGGTGCAGTGGATAAAGCACCAGCCCTGGAGTCAAGAGGACCTGAGTTCAAATCTGGTGTCAGACATTTACTAGCTATGTGATTCTGAGCAAGTCACTTAACCTGGATTGCCTCAAAAAAAAATCAATCAAACAAAATCAAAAGAATGAAAAAAAATAGAAGAAAATGTGAACTATCTCACTGGAAAAACAGCTGACATGGAAAATAGATCTAGGAGAGATAATTTAAAAACTCTTGGACTACCTAAATAATCCATGATAAAAAAAAAAAGAGAGAGACTTGACACTATCAAGAAATTATCAAGGAAAACTGCCCGCATATCCTAGAACCAGAGAATAAAATAAAAATTGAAAGAATCCACCAATCACCTCCTTAAAGAGATCCCAAAATGAAATCTCTAAGGTATATTATAGCCAAATTCCAGAACTTTCAGGTCAAAGAGAAAATACTGCAAGCATTAAAAAGAAACAATTCAAATATCGAGGAGCCAAGGTCAGGATTACACAGGATATAGCAGCGTCTACATTAAAGGATCAGAGGACTTGGAATATGATATTCTTGAGGGCAAAGGCACTAGGAATACAACCAAGAATCACCGACTTAGCAAAACTGAGTATGATCCTTTAGGAGGAAAATAGATATTCAATGAAATAGAGGACTTTCAAGCATTCCAGGTGAAAAGACCAGAACTAAACAGAAATTTTGATGTTCAAATACCAGATTCAACAGAAGCATAAAAAAGTAAACAGGAAAGAGAAATAAGATTAAACTATTTACATTCCTACACAGGAAGATGATACTTGTAACTCTTAATAACCATATAACTATTAGGGCAGTTAGAAAAAGTGTATATATGTTGTTTTTTTCTACTTTTTCTTTTACAACATGACTATTATGAATATGTTTTACATGACTACATATGTATAACCTATATCAAATTGCTTGCCTTCTCAATGATGGGGAGTGGGGAGGGAGGAAGGGAGAGAATTGGGAGCTCTAAGTTTTAAAAATGAATGTTGAAAATTGTTTTTTACATATAACTGGGGGAAAAATAAAAAACTAAACAAACGAATCAATCAATCAATCTTCTTCCCCCCCCCCAAGAAAAAGGAAAGCGTGTATATAGACAGCTAGTATGGGTATAAGTTGACTTTGATAAGATGGTATGTAAAAACACCACAAAGCAAAATTAAAGGATGAGAAAGAGTATTGCACTGGGAGAGGAGGGAAGGGAGAGGTAGAATGGGGTAAACTATCTCACATAAAGGAGGCACAAAAGAACTATTACAGTGAAGGTAAAGATGTGGGGTGGTCATCACTCAAACCTTACTCTCATCAGAATTGGCTCAAAAAGGAAATAACATACACAATCAGTTGGGTATAGAAATCTATCTTACCTTATAGGGAAGTAGGAGAGGAGGGGAATAAGAAAAGAGGGGGACTGACAAAAGAGAGGACATATTGGAGGAGGTGGTGGTCAGAACCAAAACACTGATGAGAAGGGACAGGGTGAAAGGAGAGAGAGACAGAGAGAGATACAGGCAGAGACACACATACACACAGAAGGATAAACAGGGCAAAATAGAATGAAGGGAAATATACAGTTAGTAATCATAACTGTGAATGGGAATGAGATGAACTTACCCATAAAACAGAAATGGATAGCAGAGTGGATTAAAAACCAGAATCCTACAATGTGTGGTTTACAAGAAACACACTTGAAGCAGAGAGATACGCATAGATTAAAGGTAAAAGGTTGGAGCAGAAACCATTATGCTTTAACTGAAGTAAAAAAAAAAAAAAAAGCAGGGTAGCAATCCTGATCTCCAACAAAAATAGATCTAATTAAAAGAGATGAAAAGGAAACTACATCTTTCTGAAAGGATCATAGGCAATGAAGTAATGTGAATACTAAACATATATGCACCATCAGGGATGGGGAACCTTGGGCCTTGAGGCCATATGTGGTCCTCTAGGTGCTCAAGTGCAGCCTTTTGACCGAATCCAAGGTTTACAGAGCAAATCCTTTTATTAAGGGTATTTGTTCTGTGAAGTTTGGATTCGGGCTGCAGGTTCCCCACCCCTGCACCAAATGATATAGCATCCAAATCTTAAAGGAGAAATAAATTAATTGCAGAAAGAAATAGACAGTAAAACTATACTAGTGGGACACCTCAACTTTCTCCTGTCAGAACTAGATAAATCTAACTACAAAATAAACAAAAAAGAAGTTAAGGAGATGAATAGAATTTTAGGCTGAATGTAGATTGAAGCATACTATTTTTCACTTCTATTTTGGTTTGTTTCTTCATTCACAACATGACTAATGTGGAAATATGTTTTACATGATTGCACATATATAACTATATCAAAATGATTACCATCTTAGGGAGGGGGAAGGTAAGGAGTTCAGGGGAAAAAATTGGAACTCAAAATTGAAAAAAAATGTTTAAAATTGTCCTTACATGTAATTGGGGGGAAAAACTGTTTTTTAAAAAGTTTGGTAATCATGGGTTAGCAATGACCCCTCCCTCCTTCTCTTCTGAGACTCAGAAGTGCTCATTGTCTGAGTGCAGGTGTGAGATAGTGAGCCAGACTTTTGGA